TTTTTTAACCTGTATGCTGTATGCAGCTAGAAGACACCAAACTCCCCATTCATTGCATCCAGCAAAGCAGCGACTGCTGTAACGCAAATGTCCGATCCTGAGCATGCTGTGGCGACCTGCAGATCCCGTCCATCCAAAGTGTGTGCAACCTGTTGCAATCGTTTATGCAGACGGTTGGGTAAGAGGCGCACGAAGAAGCCGGAGGTTGAAAAGAGTGATGGCTTTGGAGGAGGCACTTCAACACCACCAAGTAGTTGTGCTTTGCGGCACCGGAAATGTCTATTTCTAAACTTGCCACTGGCAAACTTGATCTCAAGCGGTGTTAGGCTCTTGGTGGAACCCACCTTCCAAAAAAACACCTTGTGGTCAGTTCTGACCCTCTCCCTCCAAAACTCCTCATCCCTCTTGTTGAGCCCAAACTTTGCAATGTCCTTGTGTTTGGTCACCTCTTCACAGGCATCGACCCTAATTGTACCAACGTAGGCAAATCCACTGCCTGACTGGAGGCTTACAATCACATGAAAGAGGTCAGGAAGAACCACCAGGGCGTAGTTTCGAGGCAAATAGCCTTCACCATGCTTGGTCAAAGAAGTAAAGTATCGCTCTTGGAGCATTAAGCATTTCACGGTGGACACATCCTCTGGTGTGGTCTCTTCATGCACTGTGTGTGGCTTGATCCTTCGTTTTTTCACGGGTGTGGCCACCTGCTCAGGCGTCGCTCTTCTTTTCTTGGCTTGGATGCTTCTCCGTACCTCATCTAACGCTTTCTCTCCTTCTGTCATTCCCGGCTCTGGTTTCACTGTCAACCGCTCAGATTGAAAGAAGTCTTGAATATCTTGCATTGTTTTTCTTGAGATCCTTGCGCTGCTCTTGTTTTGCTTCATGTGCTCTCGTGTTCCACTTCTCAAAGAATCTGCTCGCCGCCGCCATACCAGTGGTGTCACTATCCTGACACCCTGAGGTGGTGACACTGGCGTGATCGCGGAACCTTCACTCTTCATTTCAACCTCATTCAACTCCGGTGAGGACTCAATCATTTCAAGCTTGACTTCTTTCAGTTCTGGGACTGCCAGGGAGCGGGTTGGATGTTCTATGTGGGGGGCGGACACTGGTGCTGTGCTGTTCCGATCCTTCTGTGCTTCCAGCTGCTTTTCTCCTAAAGCCTTTGGCTTTGGTGGTGCCTTGGCTCTTTTCCCCCTTCCATCTTTGGGTTGCTTTCTGTTGACTCTGGTTGTTTTGCCTGTTGAGGTGTCAAATCCTGGGGAAATATGCATCCGTCCTGGATGCGGAAAGTGACACACTCCTT